TTTACAATGAGCATGTGTTTGTTTGAACCACATGCACATTCTCATAAACAAATAATATGTGTAGAGCTCTGCGCGAAATCAGACAGAGTGGTGGGCCCCAGCTTATTACATGCAGGATGTTCCTTGCTGATGCTCTAAGAGGGGACATGCTGTTGAATAAGGAGACAACTTGTGAGTCATGCCGAGAAAGAGAGCAAATGTACCCCAGATGGTGAACAATGGAAATCAATATGGTAGAGTATTTGGAGACCTAGGCCATGATTTAGTATTGGCCAAATTGCAAAGAGTGGACACACTAACAGATACTCCCTCCGTCCCAAAATAAGTGTCGCTGATTCTAAATCAGTGACACTTATTTTGGGACGGAGGGAGTATTAATCTAGCCACCTGGAGTACATATTGAATAAGGAGATATCAATGTATGGAAGAGGAGTTCACATGCTAGCAAGAAAACTAGAATGATTTGAAGGTTCATGAGAAGAATACGTGGATATAGTAAGACACAGAAAAGTGTTCCTTGAAACCAAGAATATCTGTCAAAAGCACTTGAGAATAATCTGTGCTACCCATTGAGAACAAAAATTATATTTCGATGAATTGTCTGGTGAAAGTAGTGCACAAATATCATGAAAAACAATACCATCTATTGATAAATATTCTAAAGGTACACACAATAAATGTTGCAGCATAACACTGAATTGTTTGGTGAAGTAGTTCACAAAAATCACGAAAAACAATACCATCTATTGATAAATATTCTAAAGTAAGGTACACACACAATAAATGTTGCAGCATAACACTTGTGTTGAATGAAGCTATCGTTCCTAAATCATGGAGCATATGAAGCTCAATAGCAAATCCTTGCAGTATTTGTTGAATATCATGACACAGGAAAAGGATGCAGAATACTCACAGCATCTTCAGCAGAAACAACCCTTTCCTTTTTAGTTCCTGGGCCCAGGATGCCACCCTCGCTAAGATTCTCGGAGCTCGAAGCATGATCAAGCACCCAGTTTTTGCTTCGTTTTGGTTTAAATTTGTAGGTTGGCAATGCATCGATTAGCTCTTGAGTAGCTCCTCTACTTTGACCCAAATCCTCTTGGAGGCGCAAAACGGAAATTAAGCATGGAAAGCAGCAGCATATCGCTGCACACATGATGAACGGAATGGCATACCCAACACAACTAAGTGCAAGGAACGCTAAACATAGCCTGTGAAGGGGCAGCAAATCAGTTGGGAGTTCAACAAAAATAATGGAATAAACACAGAGCAGTGCAATTACCTATACATATTTGGAGCGTCCTGAGCATCTGATGAAGTGCCACGCCCACCAAAAATCCACACATTGCCGACAACAAACCATATAGCAAAGAAACAGTCTACAGCTGTCTTCGAGTGATAAGCCAATATGCTAGGCCTATAAAACATAATCACATCAAATAACAGCATTCATTCACTTCAAATTTAACATACAACCAAGTACTATAAGACCCCACATCACCAAGTTCTACAAGTTACTAACCAAATAAGAATACTTTAGACAAGAGTAAAATAGCAACAGTTTAACTCTAGCTAAAGAGGATATGTTATGAACTTATGATCCACATAGCTGCATACTTCTGTAAAGCACAACACAGAAGGGACCATCATCAAACCAGTCTAGTCAGACATGTGAAGCAGGCATGGTAATATTATGCTATGGCATAGGGAATTGCCCTAGTCCGTGGAACAAATTTCTACTATGTCTTCCTATACTTCCATAAGAAATAAGCAAATGAAAAAGAAAACGAGGATATATGATAACTAAGTTGTAGAATATTTCCTGTATATAGGTATATTTCTAGTTCTTTTCTGTTGAGGCTTTATGTGGTAGTTATATGCTAAAAGATATGAACGCATAATAATCTGCTGTGCCACTATATTCTTTAACTTTGAGGTGATGTGGTACACTAAGATTGACACTGGACATGTCGTTCAAGTGGCTTACACTAATTACATTGGTCCCTATTAAGTAAAGATATCAGCAAGATTTTGCTCACAAAGTGAACAGTTCTACAACTTTTTGCCATGTGGAATAAAAAACCTATGAAGTTCTCCTTTCCAAATTCACAAATCTTGGAAAGCCATCAAAAGGTGTTTCTTTTGCTGACTTCTTAAGGCTGACAGGCTTTCTGGCAAACCAAAAAAAGAACATATCCTTGAGAGATAAGCATGGAAAGGGAGAAGTTATGAAAAGAAGACGTTGAAATCTTTTCACAAAACACCCCTGTCCTGATTTACAGAAATTGTTGTGGTAGCTTTATACAATGCTATACTGTAAAATAAAACTGCACATATATTATCTTATCTCTACAAACTGATAATTGCATTTGCTTATTTTAAAGGTTTTGCTTAAGCTTTTATAATTTTTATTTAACTCCTATCTCAGATTGTTTTCACACTGTACATTTTTATATACCTACTACATAATTTTAATAAACAAGCGTAAGATCATACAAACTAAACTAATTGTGTGATGCTCTAAAGGTTGCCATTTCATTCAACTTAACCATTAACTTCTTCCTTCCACCATTTCAGATTTCTGGAAAACACATATAAGACCATAAGATTTAAAATGCATAGGAGTGTGACTGCATAGAAGGATTCCTCAAGATGTAGAAGCTTAGGGAATTCAAAATCAAAATTAACACGGAGTTAAATATCACCTTGGACAAGCAATTGTGATACACCCAAGATGCAAGACAGTACCACTGGCACGCTGATTGCGTCCTTCTGATGAAGATGAAGTCAAAGTAGGATAAGTTGTAGGTGGCTGTTCAGGTTCTTCCTCCGAAGGTCTGGGTCTGTTTCGATGGACATAGCGCCAATATACAAGAGGAAGACTTGCAGTGCAGCCAACTGTATAACCAATTATCCATGCAACTAAAGGGGCATGGGGAAGTTCATGTCTTGACAAGATGAGGATGACAATAGCAGCTGTAATCTGTGCTACATACATGACAAATTCAAACGAGATCCATAAACCAGAATTCCAAAGACTTGTTCCACGACCATAAAAACTATCTCTTCTAGGAAATGATAAATTTCTGGAGCTGTAAGCAGTTGGTGACGTTGATGCTGAAGACACTGGCGATGGCGTTCGCGTGCTTGTTGAAGGCCGATCTTCCTGATGTGGTTCATCCGTATCACTGTGCAGATCTTGATGACTGGTTGATGTTGATGCGGTTTCCCCATGTGCTACATTTATAACATGCTCGTGTGCATCACAGTTAGCATGCTCCATCAATAACTTGAATTTGAATTTATAGATTTCCAAATTAGCTCTAATCACACAAGAGCAAGCGCATACTCATCATGGCTAACCATATCTCATTCCCCATATTTTTTGACTAGGGGCTACAAAATGGCCGTGTTTTGGTGAAAATACAGCTGAGCAGAATATTGATTCTCAGTATAATCCACTGAATTTAGTTTGTCAATTAGGATAGCTTCAATTACTTCAAAGAAGATCCCAGTGCCTAGGCTACAAAATTTAAAACAAAGAACCTGTCATAAGCCTATTTCAATACATACACAAAGAATTGTAGACTTATAAATGCATTATGTAGGCGAAAGTATGAGCAGTGGAGGCCAATTGTGAGAAATAAAGCAGTAAAGCGAAGCATATGAGGCATACAACGAGTCTGCATATAGCATTTTTCAAGAATACTATCCTGTTTATTCCATTAGACAGGATTATCATGATGTTTAACAGACCATGGGCATCAGTGCAACACATGAACGTTCCCTAAAAGTCAAAGCGCCTGATGGATTTCAATCCGCATCATAAGTCGAATTTTGTTTCCCCGGCTATTTTTTGTACAGCTTGTTGAATAGGATACTAGTATTGAGCAATAAGGTTTTTATTTTTATTTTCTGCATAATTAATAAGGGCCTGACTCTTTATTCCGAGACTGATATAATCCTATCAGAGAATACCTCCAATTCTGCTCAATATCACTCCTCTCCAACGGGGGCGGATCAAGATGGCGTGCCGGGTGGGCGCATCGGCACACCCAAAAATTGTGAAGCTCGGTGTGATTTAACAAATCGCTAGGTGAAACAGCCCCATACCTCAAAACCCAATCGCCTCTGGGACGGGGTGGAGACAGCGGGAACACGACGTCCCGGCGAGGGAGGACGGGGACGGCGGTGGCGGCGGCGCGCGCGAGAGGCGAGAGGCGGGATTGAGGCGTCGGCGGCGACGCTGAGGTACGGCACGGCGGCAGCTGCAGCGCACGGTCGTCGACTATAGGAGAGAATTTCGCCACGCGGAAAGAGGGGCAGAGCGGGGGGTCCCTTTCGCGAGAGCGACTCAACCCATTTCCTCCCCTCATCCTCGGTGAATGGTGGATGTCCTGTGCGCTCTTCCGCGCTCCTGGTCCAGTGATCCGGAGAAAAGTAGAAGGGTGTTGTCCGCCCGCAATAATTGGCTAGGGACGTGCTGGTCTATGGGGCTAGTCTGTGCAGGTGGAAAATAGTTCGGCGCTCGTCTTCGCGTGCCAAGAACGTGTCGGTCCGAGCTATGCTTTTGTTTTACTTCAATTGCGGCCAAAAGTAAGAGCACTCTAGCACACAATCGTCATGTGGCAATGCTACATCTGCGTAAATTTTCTTAGAGCATCTGCGCCGTTTGTCTGGTTTGGCACGACCGATAGCGCTGACTCCAACAGCGACGTAAAAATTGAGCACACGCGCGTAGCTTCAGCGGCGGCGCAAAAAGGCAGCACGCGCTATACATTGCATATTTTTTTTTAATAAAACTAAAATAAAATTCATAGATAAAAAATGATACATAGATAATTTACGTAGTTCCATAGCTAGATAGATAAAAATAACTAGATAGTGCAACTACAACCTACTCCCAGTCGTCGGCACCATCATCATCATCACCATCCTCGTTGGTCTTGTCCGAGGTATCGAGCCATATGTCCGTCCAACGATCATCGTCAGACGTAAAGATCGTCTGCCCACCATTCTCAACAATTTCGCACTGCCATATCGCCAGGGCCTTCCGCCGACGCATGTCCAACCGCCGGTCGTGGCGCCTTTGCTCCTCCTTCTCGCGACGCCTTGCCCAGTAGGTTTGCTCGTAGGTGACGTCCTCCGGGTGGCACCGGCGCCACTCCGCCATGACCCGCTCGTCCTCCTGGGCGACGAGGAGGCGGCGTTGCCGCTAGGCGTGCTCCGCACGGTCTTCTGTCGTGTTAAGATGAGACAGCGGGGCACGGTCCAGCGCCTGCTGGAGCGTGTAGACGTCCTGGAAGTTCATCTGCGCGCGCGGCCTGCCTAGGCGCCACGCCGCCGCGTCGTACACGCGAGCAGCCTCGCGCGCCGTCCCGAAGGTGCCGAGGCCGAGCCGAAGTTCGCCGGACCGTATCTCGGAATAGAAACCGCCGCTGGGGCGCTGGCGGACGCCGCGGTAGCCCGACGCTGATCGGCGGCGCGGCGACATGGTGGTGCGTCGGTGGCGGGGCGCTGGAGCGGTGGGGGCGCGCGTGGCAGCGGAAGCAACGAGGAAGCGGTGGAGGCGCGCGTGGCAGCGGACACTACTAGGAAAATCCTTACCAGTAGCACTGGGTTTCTTGCTATTAGTAGCGCGGGCAGGCGCGCTACTGCTACGGCGCTACAACTATTTTTTAACAGTAGCGCTTGTTTGGCCGATGCGCTACTGGTATCTAAAGCTAGTTGTAGCGCGCTTTCACCCAACGCTACTGATAATTATCTACAGCGCGTGGAACTAGCCGGCGCTACTGTTACTTCAGTGCAACTGGTAATCTTTACCCCCACGCCACTACTAACTTTTGTAAACAAAATTGCGTTTTGGCTCTGTACACAATTAAACAGATCCACCGTTTATACAATAACATGCATATTCATTGAAAAGCAAGTGAGTCATCGATGAGCCAAAGTTATTAGAAGTTTCGACATGTGTCAAATATCTCATCATCATCAATCATGGTCGAATACATGTCTCGAAATATCGTTACAAGTCATTACGAGTTCTCAATACATGCAACTACATGGTCACATACTCATGTTTCATCATCAATGTAGACTATGATATGACCGCATAGAAGATAAGAGCGATCACGATGATCAAAAGCGGTATTATGTAGTAGTTTTTGCAGCGGCGCTGGTTCTGAATCTCCTGTTGTGCTATGAATCTCAAGTAATTAGCTTCGGCTTCCGCTCTACTATCAAACCCTTTCTAGCTTCCGCCAAAGAAGCCAGAGACTTGGGCCTGACACTCTGACCACTCATTATACACACCCGGAACATGCCCTACATACACGACATACCACTTCCTCGCCATTGTTGATCTATATACCTGTCAGAGATGCACATATATATACCATGAAGCGAATTCAACAAAACAATTATGAAATAGAAACAACATATATAGTAAACATAGTTAACAAATTTTATCGTACCGAAAGTAATTAACTAGAGCGCGGCACCATACATCTAATAGTTTCGTCGTACTGAGAGATTCGAAGTTTCGTCGTACAGAAAGTAACAAGTAACTAAACAAACACATTGTTTTTAAGCAGTGCACTCTTCCCATCTGTCCATATCTGGAAGGGTGCACCCAAGCTTAGTGAAAGGCGTCATGTCCTGACGCTGTAGGGAAATGCAGGTTCGGACATCATCTCGGGATATTGGGCCAGCGTAGAACATCCCATTCTCTTCGAAGACATCTTTGATGATGATGGACGCAATTTCTTGTTGGATCCGGTAGAAATCATTTCAAAGTCGATTATCCGGCACGGCTCCAAAGGCTTCGGCCCATCTCTGGATATGGGTATCGGATGAAGATTTCATGCAAAGTGATTGCACATTCCTTCTGTACTCCATCATTAGATGGATGACGTAGAATCCATCATTCTCACTTCTTGCCGGTTGTTGGATGCAACAGAAGTCGGTCTTGTGGCTGAAACAAAGCACGGCCTTATTTGTTTTTTTTGTGTTGGATGTAGCCACCCCGCATGCTGAAGCCCAGCATAGCTCTGTCCAGAACATACTTTATATGTGTGTAATCTTTCTTCTGTATGTTCTTCGACGGGTCCAAATATAGAGCGCGGGAGTAACGCGGGTAAAGAACAATGAGAACGGCACGACACCCCCGCTGCGCAAAATACACGATCAAGTTTAGCCTCCATGCATGCAAAGTAACTATTGAAATGCACGAAAGGATGTATGTGTTATAGTGCTATCCGCGGATGACTTACCTGGGATGATAAGGTAGGAGAATCGTTTCTTTGTCCTTATTGCTGACCAAGAATTCTTTGATGTACTGACTCGCATATTGACGGTTGGCGTCGTTGATTGACAAGAAGCCCTCATGCATTTAGTATGGGTCCGCGACCACAAGACCGGTGACTTGCTCTCTCCTGATGATGTAGTTCATGTGCAGCGCATACAGGCGGACGAACGTAAAATCGAGTGTCCTCATTTGAAACATCTGGAAGATGTAATCAAACCTCAGGAAGAAGAGGTCCGCGGGGCATGTGTGGACATACATCTTGCAACTGCTCGGCACATGAACCATATAAAGTGGGTATCCTGGATCATCTGAGGCGAGGAGGCTTCTCTCTGTCGAAAGCACATAGTCATGGAGTCTCCTGAGATCCCCTTCTATGGCAGCTAGTGCATTCGCCGGTACCATTGGCTGTCTCGCGACATGGATTAATGGCGCATGTTTCATTGGTACATGGTCAACCTTGGTCGAAGGCGACTGGCTGCTAGAACCAACATTGTCAGCTTTATTGGATTTTCTCGCCGCCGGTCTCTTCCTCTGCTTCTTCTTGGTGGGCTGAGGTGCTGGTGGGTCTGTCAGACCCTCCCTGAGCACCACCCCTAGTGTTGTCGGGCTCAGCATTGGACGACTCTGTCTAAGTAGTTGAGCTTGGGTGGAGCTGGCATCTGGAGGCGTGTCCTGCGAGGATTGCATGAACAAAGACTTCTTGCACTCCCGAGGACGTTCCGGCTCTGGTACATGCATCTCATATTCATATGGTTGACTCATTGTTACTTCGTTGTCAAAGGCAGTATTTAAATACTGGTTAGGGTCATCGTCGGCCTCCTCCATGTCATGATCCCTATCCTCTTCCATGGGGCAGATGGCTTCATCTGCCGGCGGAACGGTTGGCCCTCCTTCCTCATGTCTCTCGATCTCAGCAAGCAGCACAGACGATGGTTGTGCTTGTGTAGGTGGTGTTTTGGTCATACCTTCCTAAGGTC